AAAAAAAAAAAAAAAAAAAAAAAAAAGGATAAAAAATATCAGATGGCAACATGTGTAGTAAGGACCGGTACTGTCTTGTGAACTTGTGTGTCAGTTAAATATACCAATGTTTTTACTGATCACAGTGTAAAATTAAAGCTATTGCAGATCACAGTCAAAAAAGAGGGAAACCACTGATCTAGTCCAAGCCCCTTATTTCACCAATCAGGATATTAAGATAAAGAGGTTGAGAGGCTTGTCCAAGGTCATGCATGCACAGCCAGAGAGATGGGTCAAGAATCAGATGTCCTTACACCCCACTCCAGGGCTCTTAACATGAAAACCTAAAGACCAACACTCTATGTTAAGGACACTAAAATTATATCTATTTACATACACTAAAAAGCATATAAATAAAATATACACTATAAAGAAAATACACAATGAAATTATAGTCTATAGTCTATGTAGTCTACAGATAAAGCATCTTTATATAAATTTAACTGGAAATATATGAAAAAACGTTCCAAGAGCTATCAAGTGACAAGTATTTACTGAACCCTACTTATGAAAAACAAGATTCTAAGCACCGTAGAAGATACTACGCATAAAATATCCAGTCCTTGGATACAGGAAAATGGAGCTCTTTCTGCTTTCCACAGCTACATTTTAAAGATCCATTAGGTTTTCCCTGTGCTACGCCCAAAAGACAGGATTTTCAAAATAATCACCAATAACTCAGTGTCACCCAGTTCTCTTACTTAAGTAATAAGATGCGTGTATAACAGATCCACCTACCTCAGATCAGGCCCCTGGTTTACCGCCACTCCTCCCTCCTGGATACATGCCCAGCTCAGCAAGGTCTGTGGGAGGGGGCACCGGCTATATACCACGAGGTTAAGTCCCAAGGAAATGCAGGGGTATTCCTTCTCTTTGTTGAACTTTACAACTTGTGACTTCATTAGCATACTTTTTCAGCAAATGTTTCCTTTAAACACGATTTTTTTTTTTTTTTTTTTTTTTGTGGTACGTGGGCCTCTCACTGTTGTGGCCTCTCCCGTTGACGCACAGGCTCGGCGGCCATGGCTCACGGGCCCAGCAGGCGAACTCTCAACCACTGCGCCACCAGGGAAGCCCTAAACACGATTTTTTAAAAATATTGTTTCATTCTACTGAGTAATGTTAAGAATCACAAGTTTTGGGTTTCCCTGGTGGCACAGTGGTTAAGAATCCGCCTGCCAATTCAAGGGACACGGATTTGAGCCCTGGTCCAGGAAGATCCCACATGCTGCAGAGCAACTAAGCCCGTGCCCCACAACTACTGAGCGCTCTAGAGCCTGGTCCAGGAAGATCCCACATGCTGCAGAGCAACTAAGCCCGTGCCCCACAACTACTGAGCCTGCGCTCTAGAGCCCACGAGCCACAACTACTGAAGCCCATGTGTCATAACTATTAAGCCTGTGCTCTAGAGCCCATGAGCCACAACTACTGAAGCCCATGTGCCATAACTACTGAGCCTGCGCTTTAGAGCCCACGAGCCACAACTACTGAAGCCCGTGTGCCATAACTACTGAGCCTGCACTCTAGAGCCCACGAGCCACAACTACTGAAGCCCGTGTGCCATAACTACTGAGCCTGCGCTCTAGAGCCTGCAAGCCACAACTACTGAAGCCGGCATGCCTAGAGCCCGTGCTCCGCAACAAGAGAAGCCACCGCAGTGAGAAGCCCGCACATCACAAGAGTAGCCCCTGCTCGCCGCAGCTAGAGAATGCCCGTGCACAGCAATGAAGACCCAATGCAGCCAAAATGAATAAATAAATAAAAATAAATAAATGTATATTAAAAAAAGAAGAATCACAAGTTTTCCTGGGAGAATATTTTTCAAATTAAAAACAGAAGTAAAAGTAAAAATCTGCTTTATAGCCAATTTACCAAGAACTTTAATAAACAGTCTAATCACCAATTAAGAATAAGAAATCAGAGCAACAGTTGATACAGAATCCCTGTTGCTTAGTTATTAGGTTGATGAAATAAAATTAAAACCCAGAACTCCACTTATCCTAAGTGCAAGAGGAAGGAAGAAAAATGAGTGGCTATTATATACCAAACCTCAAAACCTTACTTCTTAGGGATTATGATTTGACCTTAGATCAATCAGTATTCCCACTTTAATTATTTACTTTGTCTAGATACAATCAGTATTAAGGTTACTTCATTTTTCTTTAAATTTACTCACTTTTAAATTTAGTCTCATCCCAAGTAATTCTTAAAATAACTCTCTGAAGTGTTAATTATTTCCAACATATGGTAAAATAATACATAACCACTAAAATTCTAAATGTTCACCCTACATCTAAAATCATCTCTCATACCATCAGCAGTAGTAACATGGTGAATGATCTGCCTACACCTTAAAACAAATGATTCAAAGGTACTATTGCAATGTGAATAACTGAAAAAGTGTCCATGTTTCACAATATGTAAAAAAATCCTAAAATTCAATACATGGATTTACCACAACTTTATTACCAGTAGTCAGTGGGGAAAACAAAGAAAAGGTTTCGGATAGCTACTTTTGTTTTTTCTGTTTCTTAGTTCGTCCACTTTTCTTCTGTCCTTTCTTTATCTTCTTCATGAGAACAGCTTTTTCTCCGATAAACAAAGTTTTAGAATGTTGTGCATTTTTTGAAGAAAAATTAGGTCCCTGCTTAGGTTTACTGACATTCTTCAAACTAGGATTTGAATTTTGTTTTAATTTTTCTTTATGGACAGAACGCATGACTCTGAGTTTTCTTCCCATCAGTTCAGAGTTATTTAATTTCAGAGCAAGATGAACAGCATCTGTATTCTGCAATAAAAATCAAAATATTAAATTTTCACCAGAAACTCATGTGCAAAGAAACGAGTAAAATGGTGACTTTTCTGGCTTAGAACAACTTTCAAGCTTGCATATAGAAACCCCTCTCATTTCCACAGCCAAGAAGTCCAATCCAAAGTACTGAACTACAAGCAGCTGTTCTTGAAGTTTTTTATTTTTATTTTTTTAATTTTTTTTGCGATACGCGGGCCCCCCACTGCTGCGGCCTCTCCCGCCACGGAGCACAGGCCCCGGACGCGCAGGCCCAGCGGCCATGGCCCACGGGCCCAGCCGCTTCGCGGCACGTGGGATCCTCCCGGACCGGGGCACGAACCCATGTCCCCTGCACCAGCAGGCGGACCCCCAACCACCGCGCCACCAGGGAAGCCCCTGTTCTTGTAGTTTTAATCATGCTCCCTCTCATGAGTTTCTCCCCAGGAAGCACTCAAGCTGCCCTGTCAAATAATCAGATAAGTCACAATCCAAGAGGCTTCATTTTTCTCAATGTAAATTCAATTAACGAGGTCAGTCCTACAGTGTCTTTTAAACCAATAAGCCTCCTCTTCACAAGGCTCTTCCTGAAAAAGCCCTGCTGTATTAGTTGATTTGAGAGCAGAGAACTCTCTATTACAGTCCTTGAGATGGACCAGTCAGACTAGATGCCTTGTAGGGTTCCCTTTAGGTCCAAAATTCTATTATTCTTTTATTCTAGTAGAGAGCCACTAAATGCTAACCACCCTGAATATTCATGACATGTCTGTTAAAGGACTTTACAAACTTATCAATAGTCAGAAGACAGAGCAGAGAAACAGTGAGGTAACTACATCACAGTCATGATGGCAGGCTGTGACTACGGTTCTTCAAAGCCGCCTGGTCATACATACTAAGAGCCTTAAAGATGGTCAGATGTCTTGACCTGGTTAGTGGTAACCCACTGGGGAGCTTTCCTAAAGAAGTAATCCAAAAATGGAGGCAAACATTTGAAGGAAAAAACATAGCCACTCTGATCTCATTATTACAGAGAAAAAGAGAGAACACTGCAAACATGCAACATTTGGCACACACTAGGGAAAAGACAGTATACACGTTCAGTGGAACATACATACATGACAGCAAACAACATAAAGCAGCTTGCAGAATCTTATGTTCACAAATATTAAGTTTGACCATAAAAAAGGCGGTGCAGGTGAAAACTGAAAGGAAGTACACGGATGGGCTGTTGTGAAGGGAAGGCCACATGTGTATTCTAATAATTTTAGGCATGAGACACTGGCTAATATTTAGTGAACTAAATATAACCAATTTTGTACAGAGACTAACATTCTCTTCTACCTGAGTGAACGATCAGTTCTTCTCTCCATTTTACAGAAGGTGGAGATTCAGAGATTTAATACCTTTACTATCCAGTATCTAAAACATTATTTAACAACATTAATGTGGAGAAATAACTAGAACATCTCCTGGTTGGATGCAATTATAGGAACAGGAGTCTATTATACTGTGGCGGGTTATGAATGTAGTTTTCTTAAGGTGGAATTTTGAGGATGACAGTGAGAGTTACGTCTGAAGGACACGACAGGGCAGCAATAACAGCCTCTCCAGGCACACTTCAAGGACAGTGACGATACATCAGCCTCCCTACCTCAAAGAGCACGTAGCCAAAGCCTCTGCTGGCTCCTGTAACTTGATCCCGCAGGATCCTTACAGCCACAGTGTTCCCACAGTCCAGAAAGTGTTTCTCAACTGCAGATTCTTCAGCTTCTAAAAACAGATTCAACCCCAGTGGAAGTGAGGGCTTGGAATCGCCTTAGGAAGCTGGAGATGTTTCATAATATACCAAGGGTAAGCACAGCCTCAAGGTAATCAGTCAAGTTACACCCCGCGCTTCTTAAAGGTAGTCTTAAAGCGAAACATTATGTTACCAACTCAGATGTTATTTGCATTACTTCAGTGATAAACAGGTACTTTATTTGTTTAAACAAACTTACTGTATGGGAGATTCCCCACAAATACAGATCTCTTGTCCCTCTGAAACACAAAGAGGGTTAATAAAAATCACTCATGGAGCAGAAAACAGAAGTCACCCTAAAGTCCACCCTTGTCCTCACCCCACACACCTGACGGGGCTCCATCTCCTGATTTCCCCGCCCTCCAGGCCCCTGTTTGATTCCCTTTCTTCCGCCTTCCCCGCTGAAGTGTGAGTGAGCCCCGGAGCGGGGAGTGCTTCTGTTCACAGCTGGCACTGACACACGGCAGTGCTCAAGGAAGGCCTGCTCTATTGGGGGTGGGCAAACTTTTTCTGGAAAGGGCCAGAAAGCAAATATTTTAGGCTTTGTGGGCCACGTGGTCTCTGCTGTACCTACCTGCCTGGTTGGGTGACAGAAAAACTTTATTAACAGAAACGGGCCGCAAACAGATTGGGCCCTCAGGCCAGTTTTCGGACCCCGTGCCGGGTCCACAATCAAAGCCAGGGCTGTCAGCCAGGCCTCTGTCATTTCTCGACTAGTTGCCCTGACGCCGACCGTAACGCACTCTGTGTCTGCGGTGAGTTATTGCAACTCACGCTTCATCCGTTTCAAGAAAGCTTGAGGAACAGCTTTGGACAAAACCCAGACTCCTCCCCATGGCAGGCCAGGGTCTTCATGATTGGCCTCCACCTATTTCTCCAACAGCTACTCTTATCCCGCCCCTCCTCACATGCCAGTCACTACTAACTGCATCAGGCTCTGCCATTCCCTCAGCAAATTAGGTTTTGGTCCCCACCATTCATACTGTTCAAAATTTTTTTGCCTGGATAACAGATCTTGCAAGACTGCTAGAACACCTGTTCTCCTGGAAACCCTCCTTTGTCCCTTCTTGCTGGCAACCCCCCAAATCAAATGCTCCATTCCTGAGCTGACAAAGCATCCTGTGCATTTATGACAGTATTTATCATAAAATCGTCTGCTCATCTTTACCTTTATCCTGTGAACTCCTAGAGAACTGAGTCTGTGTCTCAGCACTGAATGCCTGACACAGAGGACAGACTCAAAAACTGTTTAATGACTGATTTAACTTTAGACCTCAGTCTATAAAATAAGGTGCTGGCCCCGATGGTCTCTAACGTAATTTCTGGCCTCTCTCTCTAGGACTACTGGATCTAACGTATGGGTGGGAACCACTTTCTTGAAGCTGACGCTGACTTAGAGGGCATTAGCTGAGACCACAGAGGGCAAAGGCTGTCTCCTCTGTGCTTCCCGTATGCTCCCTGCTGACCCCACTGCTCTCCCAGCACAAGCTCAGAAGAGCTACTCACAGATGAGGTCTCAGATGCAAGATCCACTCTAACACGAAATCCATCTGCAATTTGGGCCCCATTTCTGGTATAAATACGAAGGGAAAATTGTTGTTAAAAACAAGTGCTGAGTTACTGGGATATTTGCTCTGAAGTGAAACCAAAGAATAAAGCATGGACTCATACACACTTAAATTACAATAATTCTGTCCAAACCTCAAAGAGATGAAATTACCTTTCCAGTGCTTTTGTAGCAGCACTCTCGTCCTTAAACACAACATAAGCGTTAATATTTTTCTGATCAGGATGAATTTTACGTCTACACCAAAAAAAAAGAAAAAAAAAAGAAAAAATAGACAATGTAAAATTTGTTAATCTCAAAGTCACTGAAATAAATATAGCTTGTTTTCCACTCTCAACACATATGACAAGAATTTCTGGGGGGAGTTTCATCTCTTTTAATAAATATTTAGTAATAACTCAAAAAGATAACACACAACTTACACAGATATGAGCTGAGCTGATACATGTGACTCAGGCCTCCTTACTAGTCATCACTGTGAGAGACCAGCAAGCGCCCCTGGGCAACCCACCACACTACAACTACTGGGCTGGCCACACAGTTCGTTCGAGTGACACCTTACGGGAAAACTCAAATGAACTTTTTGGCTAACCCAGCATCACCTTAGCTGCAGCTCTGTATCTAAGGCACACACAGATGGGAAAGACAACGTGCTTTTTCCTTTTTACTGTAAAATAAAAACTACACAGACATGTACAGCTTAGGGAATTCTTATAGGAACCACTTCCCTGCGTGTCTATGTGGTTTTATCACCCAAGTGTCTACTCCTAGACATACTTTGGTCTTGTCCAGTTTTCAACTTGAAAAGTCTTCTGACTCCTGTTTAATCTGTAGGATCCCCCATTTATCTCTTCATCTTATAGTGTGACCTACAGAATTTCCCTGGAAAAACCTGGCCAGCCAATAGCAACCATGAGGCCCCTCTGATTTTAAGATGCATTTTGATTTTTAAAATGTTAAGGTATGGGAAATGTCACCTTAGAATTGATGAAATATGATACTTATGATTTACAATAGAATTTTTAGGTGCAAAACTTTCTTATTCTCTTCAAACACTATGCCTGATTAAACGTCCTTGAAGTTTCTCATTTCTCATAGCACATTTTAAGGTATTTTGCAATTTTTATCCTTGACTCTACAATTTATGTTGAGGCTTGAAGACGAACATCTGACAAATTTATATGTTATTACAGACATAAGAAAACAATAAAACATGATGTTTTATCCAAATACAAACATCTATGAGGTTAAGAAATGGTCTCAATTTTAACCAAAATGGAAGATAATTTATGACTACTCCCTTTCTCTAATTATAGACTTACTTTATTGCTGCCAACTTTTTGGACAAAATTCCCTCTGCTGGAATCTTTTAGGAGAAAAAAAAAAGTATTAAAGAAAAATCATTGTTTAAAATATTATTTCAAAATAATTATAATTTAATTAATTGAATTCTAAATATCTAAGTCTGATATGATGTGATTAAAAACATTCTAAGGAAATACTGAATCAGAAACAACTGTCCTAGTGTTGTATGAACAGGACCTGGTGGCTGAGGACAAACATTTCCAATGACAGTGCCATATTCAGATTTCACAGGCAGTGACTCTCAAACCAGGCGGAAGTTACAAATGACTTGAAGGGATCTCTGGTCGTGAGGGGGCCATGATGCTGGAGACACACGTGAAGAGTGTTAAGGAAAACCGTTTGATAAAATCAGCATGGAAGAAAGGGACACTTCTAAATTAATACTGTGTATAATGCTATACGATTTTAAATATATCACTTGATAAATAATGTAAGAAGATACAACTTCAGTATCTGTAATTGGACAAATAAGGGAAAATCTCCTTTATATTCAGAGGCACGTCACTGTCAGTCATATAAGGGTCATACCTAAGAGTGAAGGGGGCAGGTAGGGAAAACTTTACAGAGAGGTGGAAATTCAAGTCAGCAACTGTGACTGTCAGCAATGTGTGCCAAATACCACCAGGTACAGAGAACACAAAGGTAAAAGGATACAGACTGCAAGTTCACAAGGCCAGGGGTGTCTATAAATGCCAACCCCATTTAGGGCAGTTACTATAAATCTCTGGAAGAGTTTTTTCTTTTAGTCATTCAATAGTTTATATAGTAAAACTAAGAAACTTGGACTATTTCTTCTCAGTCTGTTCTGCTCAAACTAACATATGGTCAAACTCTCAAAATACAGACAGGAAAACAGTATGACACATGAGAAATGCCCACGTGAATAACTGACATGGGAATACTGGTCATCAAAACACATCTATTGGATGCCTTCTAGGAGCTCTCAAGGACCTGTGTTCTGTTATTAAAGATATGAATGAATAAATATAAGGCAATAAAGTACAAAAAGAATATATATACAGTGAAATACTACTCAGCCATAAAAAAGAAGGAAATCTTGCCATTTGCGACAACATGGATAGATGCTGAGGGTATTATGCTAAGTGAACTAAGTCAACGACAGATGCTGTATGATGTCACTTATATGTGCAATTAAAAAAACACAACAGGGAGTTCCCTGGCGGTCCAGTGGTTAGGACTCTGAGCTCTCACAGCCGAGGGCCTGGGTTCAACCCCTGGTCAGGGAACTAAGATCCTGCAAGCGGCACAGCCAAAAACAAACAAAACAAAACTCAGAGATACGGAGAACAGACTGGCTGTCACCAGAGGAGAAGGGGGTTGAAAGTGGGTGAAATGGGTGAAGGGGGTCAACCGCATGGTAAACAAAGACAGAACTGTTATGCTGAACACCTGAAACTAACATAATGTTATATACCAATTTGACATCAATTAAAAAAAGAAAAAAATGAACTGAGCAAAAGGACAAGGGTGGGAAAGCCCAAGCATATGATTGGCAACGAGGGCAGCTCCCGGGTTGCAGGACAGTCCCATGTAGAAGAACGCAGGGCCCCAGGGCCACCCTGTGCAGGCTGTCAGGCAAAGAACCAAGGACACTGACAGCGAGAAAAATGAAAAGCTTTTAGGGAACGCCATACATATTTGATGTGCACCAGGTGCAGGTGCTAGTGACCCAAGGAGGAGCCACACAAACAGGGTGTTTGTAGTCACAGCTCACAGTCTGGTGGGACAGGAGCTCTAACAATGATAGAGCGGTGTCATAAGGACTACAGTGAAGCACAGGGTGCTGCAGGGTGCACAGCAGGGTCACCTGACTTACCAATAATCCAGGGACAGGGAAGAATCAGGGCAGGCCCCCCAAAGGGAACTCCAGGCCAAGGCAGGGGTGGTGGTGTGTATAATATTCACGGGAGGGGAGGTGGAGGGGAGGAATTCTGGGCAGGGGGCCCAGGAGGAAGTACTTTAGGAAGATTAAGCTGACGGTGGTGCGATGGATGCATCTGAGGCAGACTGAAAGCAGGACCTGTAAAAGGCCTCTGCAACTCTTCTGGCAAGAGCTGTGAACACTAAGGTGGAACAATGGAAAAAGAAAGAACTCCTCTTGGGAAGAAACCACAGCTGAAAAACAGCAGGTGGCATAGGCTGGGGTGGGGGACTGACGGAGGTAAAGCACAGACGCGCTAAAAACGGGCAGGACACCCAAGTGGATGTGTCAGGCAAGGATCTGATATGAGGAAACAGGACTCAGAAGGGCAGACAAAATACACACGTGATAAGCGTGAGGAACAAACAACATGATAGGAATTATGGAGACTGAACCAAATCCTTGGGAAATGTCTCCTTTCAGAGAAGTGGGCGGTTTTGCCCGCTGGGGACATCTGGCAATGTCTGGGAATATATTTGGCTGTTACAACTGGGGTGGGGAGGATGCTACCAGCACCTAGCAGGCAGAGGCCAGGGGTCCTGCATCGCACAGGGCAGCCTCCAACACTAAGAGCTAACCAGCAGCAAAAGTCAATAGTATCAAGGCTGAGAAACCCCATTTTAGACAATCACGTTGAGAAAAAGCAGTTGGAAACAAGGAACAAACATCTCCTACACTATACTAATACATATTAATTACATTAAAAAACATATGAGTGATGCTTATTCATGCTCCAAGGAACATGGCTATAACTGGTCTAGAGTGCTCAGCTGGTAAAATCAGATACCATTTATTTCCATAAAGTTTTAACATTAAATTGATTAAAAACATACTTTATCTTTCTATGTCAGACCATTAAGTACTGCTCTGCAGCGTCATGCAAACCCCTCATATGAACACCTATGATTCCAGAAATGCTACTCAACAGGTGTGAACATTGACACACAAACAAAAGTCACCCATCCACCCTCCAAAGTACACTTAGTAAGGACAGCATTTTACTATTTAAACTCATTAAATTAGCTAACAAAGTCCAAGAGTCAGCAATCGATACTAGTGTGATTCTTCTTTGGGGCTAGATTTGAGCCTGTCGGTTCTAAGGTTAAAGTCAAGGGCTCCTCCATCTCACTAAAACCAACACATGAATAAGTCGGATTTAAATGCAAAACATTTTAAGATTATGCAATTTTAAGGGGGCGGAACACATACCAGAGAACGAAATCGTACAGATTCTATCTGTCCGTACTCTTTAAAAAATGACTTCAGCTTCTAAAATAAAAAAAAACATATATATACACACATATATACATATATTTCAGTCCACTTTCAGAACATCAAATAAATACCACAAAAAGGAATTAAGTAAAACGATCTGATAATCTTTTCCTGCCATGTTTTCAGAATATTTCAGGAAAAGTAGGTAACTATTCAGTTAGAAGACAAAAAACTTTTACTGAAACTTATATAAAAACACAATTCAAGTTCATGTTAGTATCTATAAGGTACACAACATTTTTTCTTTCAATCTTTTATAATCTTTACTACAGGTAAACTTAAGATTATATATTCCATAAATTCTCTCATCTTTTCACACTGGCTTATTTAAACCAGAAATGGATTTTAAGGATCCTTATGTCACCATGGGAAATTCCCCAACTGTCTGGAATTAAGACCATCAGATTGAAGAAAAGTCTTAGGATGAATTTTATACATTATTCTTATGACTGGCTCAGGATGTGAAGAATGTGTATGTTTTACAGCTTGCACAATAATTTCTATAAGCAATTTTAATCCAAAAATAACTTATTAAATGTGTAAAGCACCACAAACACTCCCTTCCCTTGAGGAAGATAAGTAACCAAAACTACGCTGGAAAGTCAAATGGGTTACGTTCTACAAAATAATCACACATCAAAGGGGACAAAAGGGCAAGGGGGAAAGGGAAAAACCAGGAAGTAACTTTCTAGTACTGTTTTGTTTTTAAGAAAGTGGAATTGAAATTGTTCTTCAAAAGATAAGCAGGATTTTAACCAAAGGGATTGCCACCAGGGTGACTATCACATAAACACACAGAAAGTAAAGGGCACGTCTTGATTTAGTGAACCCCACATAATGGAAGAAACTTAGGATGTATGTATTCATTTACACGACAAATATTCAACAAGCCTCTACTACACACCAGGCACTGTTTCAAGTGCTAAGGGATAGAGCAGTGAAGAAAAGAGATAAACATCCCCGCACGTATGGCGCTTCCGTTCTAGTGGCATATAAGAGACGATAGAGCTGGAGGAAAAAACCAGATAGGAGACCACTGCAATATTTCAGACAAGACTTGCAAAAGCCTGAATTAGGGCAGTGACTGGGAATGGAAAGGAGCAGGTGGATACTGGAATCAATCTATAGAATGATATATGTAGTCATTTATAATGAAGTTACATATTAATGATTTATTTAATAAAGTAACAGTAAACAAAACCACAAATTATTAATTTCTCTGCATGTTAACGATATACAGACTACACACTCACCTTCTTATTACAGGTGACAGGCAAATTCCCAACAAACACAGTTCTCTCATTCTTTAATCTCTCTTCTTGGTTGGTTTGAATTTTCTTTCTTTGATTTACAACTGTCTGATCTCCATCATTAAGTACTTCTTTATCGGCAATTTTAACACCAGATTGAGAATTTTTCCTTTTCTTCCCTTGTTTCTGGTGAATTTCTTCTTCTAAATCAGCACTTGCTAAAGCATTTTCTCTTTTTAAGTCAAAAAAAAAAAAAAAGTCATGGAAGTCAGGTCTAGTACTTGACAAAGCACATTGATTAGAAACACTTCCCATCTACTTCTGGCCCTCCTATATATCAACTTACCATTCACAAATACATCTACATTTAAACAGCATTATCAAAAAGTGACTGGTATCTTTAGGAAACTCAAGAATTAGAAAAAGTTAAGGTCAATTTCTGAAGATAGGTTAAAACTGTCAGGTAATAAGCAGAGCAACAAAAGTTCATTTAAACAGAAGTTGGCTCACTTAAAGCTTTGGGGATTTAGTTTACACTCTACCAATGCCTAATTCCATTCTCTGCTCTAGAATTCTAGGGTTACTGCAGCACTCCCAGGGGGTCTATGAAGATTAATATACCGGCAAAGTACTTAACTTTGTAAAAGCAATCTGGCGAAGAGGAGAAATCAGATTTCCTACTGCAATATTTAAAGGACTGCTTGTCAAAAGTAAATTCCGCCAATATTGTAAAGTACTGGTGCACTTGGGTAAAGAGAAAATGGAAATGGTCCAAAAAGAGAAATGGAACAGGAACTTAGGAGTGAGGGGAGAGAATGGGTAGTAGGAGTCATAAAACTCATTCATTCATTCATTCAATAAATATTTACTACTCAGTTCTAGCCTCTGGAGATACAAAGATAAAAGAGACTATTAGAAGCCTTTCAGTAGTCCAGTCTCTGGAGCGATAGGCAAGGTTCACCATAAAATAGTTAACGTGTATAATATATGGGGTAGAAACATAAAAGAAACAAGAAAGGCTCTCACAGAAGGAAAGGCAGTGTATAGCACATGGTCAGTCCTCAGTAAATGTTGACCGTTTCATCCCTCCACTAGACCACAAGCTCCAGTAAGGAGAGGGTCAATGTCTAGTTTTTTGTTCACTATGGTATATAAAATACGTAATAGGAGTGAAAGGAAATGAGACAGTATGTCAAGGAGGACCATGCCTGTTATGCAAAAGTGCTCAGATTTTTATCCCAAAGAGGATGGGGAGCCCCTGAAGACTTTGAAAGTGCCTAAAAGAGATCATTTGGGCAGCAGAGCAGAAGACAATTATGAAAGGGACAAGGCTGGATAAGGGAGACCAGTAAGGAGAGAGTTAAAACTGCAGGCATCTCAGAAGACAACAGACCCACCAGATCAAGGGAGAGGGTGGAAAGGGGAAGCAGATTAAAAGAGATAATTAAAAGACAGTATCATTAGGACTTGGCAACTGATTAGATATGCAGGGAAAAGAGTCTAAGTTGACTCCCAAGTCACAGGCTCGGGCAACAGGAAGGCTGATGGTACCACTCATGCAGAGGAACAGGTGTGATGAGGATAATAAGCTCGGTTTGAAGCATCCTGAATTTGAGGTGTATATGAATATAGAGCTAGAGATGCCAGTAGACAAACAGATATACAGGTTTATAGATCAAGAAAGAGAGATGAGAACTGTGGAGCCACAAGGACCGGGAGACTGCCCGGAAGGAAGGGTGTGAAAAAAGTCATGAGAAGATGACCAAGAACAGAATCCCGAGGGAAATCAACATTTAAGGAATAGTCAGAAGGAAAGTGCCCACAATACCACTGAGAAGGAGCAGAAAGACAAGAGGAGGAAGAGAAGAGACTGCTATCAAAGACTCCAACAGCTTCGAGACGAAAAGCAACCACATGACATGTAAAAGCAAGGACTCAGACAAAGGCTAAATATGGCATCTAGGTCAGGATGGCTTCCCTGAGCACTGTTTCAGAAGTATGGTCATATCACATAAAAACTAACACAACAAACAAACAACCAGAGTGCAAGTTCGTGGAAAAGAAAACAGATCAAGAAAAGGAAGAGAGCGCAAGTATAAACATCTTTTTCTAAAAGCTTGGCAATGAAGGGAAGGTTTGAAGGGATGGAGCAAACAGGGACACATGACTGCAGATGGGGTTTTGCTGGATTTCTTTTTTTAGGATGAGACTCTTGAGAGGACAGATCAAAGATACATACATACATACATACATACATACATACATACATACATATATATATATATATATATATATGATGACATAAACCCTAAGGAGGCAGAAGAGGTATGTGCTATATATAAACAGCACAGGCAACTGAATTAATCTTGGACAAGGAGGAAGACACCCTTCTCTGAAAGGGGAAGAAATTAAAGATGTGCATAGTTACAGGCAGTAGGAGAACCAGAAGCAGTAGCTCACAACTGTTAGCAATTAAAAAAAATAACTCTCAGAGGAATTCCCTGGCGGTCCAGTGGTTAGGATTCCAGGCTTTCACTGCTGGGGGCCCAGGTTCAATCCCTGGTCAGGGAACTAAGATCCCACAAGCTCCCTGGTGCAGCCAAAAAAAAAAAAAAAAACAGATATACAGGTTTATAGATCAAGAAAGAGAGATGAGAACTGTGGAGCCACAAGGACCGGGAGACTGCCCGGAAGGAAGGGTGTGAAAAAAGTCATGAGAAGATGACCAAGAACAGAATCCCGAGGGAAATCAACATTTAAGGAATAGTCAGAAGGAAAGTGCCCACAATACCACTGAGAAGGAGCAGAAAGACAAGAGGAGGAAGAGAAGAGACTGCTATCAAAGACTCCAACAGCTTCGAGACGAAAAGCAACCACATGACATGTAAAAGCAAGGACTCAGACAAAGGCTAAATATGGCATCTAGGTCAGGATGGCTTCCCTGAGCACTGTTTCAGAAGTATGGTCATATCACATAAAAACTAACACAACAAACAAACAACCAGAGTGCAAGTTCGTGGAAAAGAAAACAGATCAAGAAAAGGAAGAGAGCGCAAGTATAAACATCTTTTTCTAAAAGCTTGGCAATGAAGGGAAGGTTTGAAGGGATGGAGCAAACAGGGACACATGACTGCAGATGGGGTTTTGCTGGATTTCTTTTTTTAGGATGAGACTCTTGAGAGGACAGATCAAAGATACATACATACATACATACATACATACATACATACATACATACATACATACATACATACATACATACATACATACATACATACATACATACATACATACATACATACATACATACATACATACATACATACATACATACATACATACATACATACATACATACATACATACATACATACATACATACATACATACATACATACATACATACATACATATATATATATATATATATATGATGACATAAACCCTAAGGAGGCAGAAGAGGTATGTGCTATATATAAACAGCACAGGCAACTGAATTAATCTTGGACAAGGAGGAAGACACCCTTCTCTGAAAGGGGAAGAAATTAAAGATGTGCATAGTTACAGGCAGTAGGAGAACCAGAAGCAGTAGCTCACAACTGTTAGCAATTAAAAAAAATAACTCTCAGAGGAATTCCCTGGCGGTCCAGTGGTTAGGATTCCAGGCTTTCACTGCTGGGGGCCCAGGTTCAATCCCTGGTCAGGGAACTAAGATCCCACAAGCTCCCTGGTGCAGCCAAAAAAAAAAAAAAAAAAAAAAATCAGATTAGGTAACAAGATCACCTGCCAAGAGAGAACAGAGAGATAAAGGGCATGAAGACAGTGGCCTGACAGGCTGAGGAAAGTTAATGAGGAACCTATAATGGTACTGCTATATGGATCTCAATTCAAATAAACTGTTTTTTTAAAAAAATTAAACTAATGGGGGAAATTTGATCTCTGACTGAATAAGTTTAAGAAAAGCAAACTCATCTTTTCCATACGTGCTGAAATATTTATAGATGAAACCTAAGTCTTAGGTTTGCTTCCAAATAATGAGGGGGAAATGAATAGGGTAAAGATGAAACAAGATTTGCCAAGTATTAATAACTGCTGATGCTGGGTACATGGGGTTCCTTACCCTTTTCAACTTTTGAAAATGTATGGGACTTTCCATAATAAAAATTTTTAAATTATAACTATGAAGTGAGAAAAGAAATTAAGATGAACATTGCTGGTATAAGAATGTCAATTTCTTTACCATCTAATTTCTTTAACATCAACTAGGAGAGAAATTTTACCAACCTGTTTGCCAACTTTCGGTCTGCATCAGAAAGTTTCTTCTTCAGTTTCATTTTTTTGGCAGGTTCTTGCAAAAGCGGTCTTTGGATTTGGGATGAACTTTCTTCCTCCTCATCCCGTTTCCTTTTTTTGGTGGTTTCCTTTTAAAAGTTTGAAGTTATGTTTCAGACCTCATCCTTCTTAATAATTCAGTGGTCTTTCTAAAGTAGCATCTTTTCTCTCTCACTGATATGTCCAGTAATGAAAGATTACTTAAAATTGATCCTTACCTGCCCCACTTTAGAAAGCATGCCCTGCAAGGTAGGTTGCTTGCTTCTAAAGTTGTTCTAATGGGCCATTCGGGGTATAACGTAGTGACTTACTTCAGGCACAGGCACATACACGGGTTGAAGCTGAGGCTCCAAAGAGCCGAAGAGGGAAGCCAGCCGACCCGTGCTGCCTCTGGAGGGCCGCTTGCCGTGGAATAAACTACTGGCGACTTGTCCAACCTCATAGTCTCCTGCCAGATTCCCACAAGCGCCGTCCTCCGGGTTCTCTCTAGACACGAACATCAGAGACTCAGCGACACGACGCCACGCCCCACCCCTAGCGCCCCGAGGTCCCGAACGCATACTCCGGCCCAGGCAGACGAGCCACGGGCCACTCACCCCTCCCGCGCACTCCTCTTTTTCTTCCGTTTGTTTTTCTCTTCCAGGGCCATTCTTATCCGAGGCCTCCGAGAGGGCGGGAGCACGTGAGCCCGCAAGCACGTGAGCCCGCACTTCCGGGTCCCGGCCACTCCGTCTCGGAGCCACGCCCCTTCCGCCCCGGGAGTCACTCTGCGGACGCCGTGGGGGCGGAGACGGCGGGCATAGGGGCGGAGACAGCGGGCGAAGGACCCGGGCCCAGGCTTCCGGACCAGTTTGTACCTCTGTCTGAGACCTAGTCTTGGGAGGGAAGTCTTCCGAGGGTAGTTGAGGCCTTAAGTACGAATAAGAATCAGCCAGGGGCTTCCCTGGTGGCGCAGTGGGTGAGAGTCCGCCTGCCGATGCAGGGGATGCGGGTTCGTGCCCCGGTCTGGGAAGATCCCACATGCCGCGGAGCGGCTGGGCCCGTGAGCCATGGCCGCTGAGGCTGCGCGTCCGGAGCCTGTGCTCCGCAACGGGAGAGGCCACAACAGTGAGAGGCCCACATACCGCAAAAAAAAAAAAAGAATCAGCCAGGCTGGGACTGGGGTGTCAGTCCAAGCAAAGGGAAAACACTTAGGAAAACCCCTGAGTTGTCGAAGAGGAAGGAGGGAGGTTTGTCGGGAAATGAAGTTACAGGGATGTATGTCACACGGTATTAACAACTGGTGAATCGGTTGAAGGATACATGGGACTCCTTTGTACTGCTCTTGCAACTTTTCTGAAATTTGACATTATTTTAAAATAAAGTTAAAAACAAATAGAGACCACAGCTCTAACCTGCTCTGCTCTATTCTACCAAGAAAAGGGGCTCTCGGCTCTCAAAACTGCTGCCTTCTTGGCCTACCTTCCCAAAGCCCGCTTTTTTCCACCACCTCTTTATTCCTTCACCCTTTGTCATCCCTTCTTATTCTTGTTATTCCTTCCCCCACAATTGCCCCCCTCTTTACCCCTCATTTTCACCTGCAAAATTGTACCCATCCTTCAAGGCCCAGCTCACTTAGGACAATTTCCCAGCTATTTACAGTAGAGATATAACAGTCACTCTAAATGTAAATGGTTGTCTTATTCAGCCTGTGCTCTGTATGCCCATGTGGTAAATTGACATTTAAGCAATAAAAAATATTAGATTATCATTAGATAAATCACTGAATCAGTAGTTTTGGTGGTAAAATCAAACTCGACTTTGAATCTATGGGAACAGATTTGCTAATTTTGGAGAGCTGCTTAATAGAAGTCACTGGGAATATATGTGATCTTTTTTACAGTCCACATCAGATAATGTGATGGAAAAACAATACTCAACTGCTTGGCACTGGTTTTGATTTGAGTCCCTTATTTTGGCATGTGGTATCACACAAAGATGAGAAAAACTCAACTGTCCATATTTGCAACTCTAGCATCTCCATCTATCCTATACCATCCAATGAAGACATTCTACTCATTTTTCTTTCAGCATGTCTTCCAATCAGATTCCTTCCTCACTCTCCCTAGCATATTCCAAGAATCACTTCCTCTCTGGAACACCACAATGTCATTGAATCTGGCCTTTCTCCACTTTAGACTACCTACACATTCCATTTCCAGATGAATCTCAGTTAAATGCTAAGGTTTGCCATCTCCTCTATGTCACCATCACATCAGTCATCACATTCCTTGTGTGCTCATACACTGCCCTCTTTAAACTTTAATGCCCATACAATTTAGTGCTTAATTTTATGATCTCTTATATATCTATTACTCCCACAACTAAACCATGAAACTATTCCTCCGGGGGATTTACATCTTATACATACAAAACCCATCATATGACGTTAGACAAAAATCCCTAAAAGCAGGTTAAAATTAGACGAAAGGTGAAGAAATGGACTCACAAAGAATGAAAGGCAGCACACACTTCTAGAGGAAAAGGTGATAAGTATGAAAGAGACTGTGCTTGGAGATAGTTAAAAAATGATTCCCACTGTTCTTAAGAACTGCTTTCCAACCATTTAGAGATCACTAACCCCTTTGAAGAGTTTCTTAAACTTATTGGGGCTCTTTTCATTAAAAAAAATACAAATACATTTTGTAAAAAATGTTAGGGGTTTCTGGAATCTGGTCCACCATCCCCAACCTTCCCAGGTTATTAAAATTAACAAGACCTCACCCTCAGGTTATTTGAGTAGGAATTTAAAAAAGGTTTTGGAGAACACTGTAAAAAAATGTACCATCTTAATTTTATCAGAGGTTGTAAACTAGTTTGATAAAATGTTTAGGGGACCAGGGAAAGACTTAAGTCAAATTCTAGTAATGCCATGAAATTCTCAAACTCTCCGGAGAAGCTGGGAGGAAGGGAGAAATAGGCAGAAAAGCCCAAGGGTATAAACCTCAACTCCAACAAAGTTTGGAATCACTCTCCTTTAGAGTACCGTTTCTGTAACCCATCAAGTAGGTGATATTGCGAGTTGCTTGAAAAACAGGGTTTCACAACCAGGTAAGTCTAAGAGCAGTAAGTTAAATGAAAAAACTTCCTTAAAAAAACTTCTTAAAGTTTTTAACATGCGAACACTGAAACTCTAAGAAGGGGATGTGCTATATATAGCATTTCCAAAATATGTTTGGTAATAAATTCCCAGAGCATTTCCAGGGAGCAGTATTCTAGGACCTCATTTTGAGAAGCACTGTTCTATAGATTTTAAAACTCATCCTTTCAACGTTAAACTGATTTCTGTGAAAATAAATGGTCATCACAAAGGTGCATCAAAAATACACATTTGGGCTTTTTAGGCCTTAAAAAAGTTTCCTTTTTGTTTTAAAGAAAAACTTTTCTCTTGGTGGGAAGTTCATTAAACGGGGCAGAGAACCTAATTATTGATTTTAAAGGTTTGGAGTGATGCAGTGGTTCTCAACCCAGATGAGTATTATAATCACCGGCCATCTTCAAAAAAAGACCAGCATCCAGGTACCATCCTAGACCAATTAAATATGACTGAGGGTGGGGCTGGAGTATTGACGAGTGTTTTAACAATACCCAGATGATTCCAAAGTGCAACGGGGTAGAGTGCACTGAAAGTGTAAGAGCGCCACCAAGGTCCAATTACATTAAAAGACAAAAAAAAAAAAAAAAAAAAAAAAAAAAAAAAAAAAGAAAAGCAATAAAAGGAAAGAAAAAAGCCGCTAGTAATGGTTTCAAGCATTAAAGAAAAAAATCTTGGTTTTCTTCTTTAGACAAACCTCCAAGTCGGAAGTATTCATCTTCAGACTCAAGCTAGTATGCAAAGATATAAGAATGCTTAACAAATCCTGTACATAAATCTGGTTAATGGACTTTTAATTCCTATAGGCAGAATATTCCCTTTTTTGGATGTCAATTTTACCCTTTCTGATAATACATGCTGGAGATATATGTTTCGGTCAGGCATCAGAGACAGAAATGAACTAAAATTACTTAATCTTTTAGAAACAAAATCAAGGATTCACAAACTATGGCATTTTATTTCAGAGCCTTTGCTTACATTTGTACAATATATTACATAATTCTTCATTGTTTGCAGATCCTAATATATACTTTATAGCTTTTATTCTATAAGCTTTTCTTCAATGTTTTGCTGTCAACAAATCTTTACAGTCCTGTACAAATCTGAATAACTTGAAACCATTTTCAACAAAATTAGTTACTGTAAGCACACACTGCAAGACTGAAAATGCTTTTCTTAGAAAAGTTGAATGTAAAGGATTCTGACACGTTAGCATCTACAACAAAACGCTTCGAAATTCTCACGTCGTATTGCCAGAAAACAAATAAAACATGCCAGCCCCGTCCAAAAAAAGTACACAGAACTACAATTAAAACAGTAAAACAGTCTGTACAGTAAAGTACTGTGTATTAACAGTGCCAGGTATTAAATAGCTTGAATGAACACATCCGCAATATACAAATGTCTTACAAAGGTGTAGAATTAAATACAAGTGCCAAACAGAACAGAGATTGGAACCATACAACATAAAGTCAATACAGGTGAAAACAATTTTGCGTTCATTTTGGATTTTATACAAGGCATTTAATTTTTATAGGCCTACCACCCCGATTAGCTATTTATACTTAAAATAACAGCCATCCTTTTGAGACAGTTCATAGCAACAGCCTTGAACCATACCGATAAAGTTTGCTTGTTCCTGAAGTCCTCTTGTTGTAGCTCATAATAAAATAAGCAATACAAATGAATTATCTGTATTTAAGGAAAAAGAAACATTTACAAGAAAACACAAAAATATAACTGTTATAATTCATTATGAATAAATATACACTTTGAACTGGCTAAGTACAATCTTTACACATTGTTTAAGATTTAATACAGTTTATTAGCCATTTTCTTTTTTCACACAATGTATTATATCAAAATTAAAAAAAAATACTGATTTATAGAAAAATGGCAAAGTACAGTAGTTCCATTCCAATTTGAAGGGGCGTGAAAAGCCACTGCAAGACCTTTTAGCCTAATTCAAACCTGTAAACATGTTCAGTCTTTTTTAAAGAGAATCTTTAATATTTGGTTATCAGGATTGATGTCTAATATCCTGTTAACTGCAGGCTATGAATTTATTACATGTGCTTGAGTTATACAATTAAAGCCACCCTAAGGTGACTTGCTTTAAAAAACAATTAGCTTGTACAAATGAAAATAGGTTCATATTTTTTCATAAATAAATGGAAAAATATCAAATGTTCCAGCTTTAACAAAATACAAGGGAATACATATACAGTAAGTTATCTTAACATGTTGTGGCCGCCCAATGACTACGCTTACTGTATTGTCTCTACAGGCAGTGAAAAGCCTCCATTTGCCACAGTGGAAGGCCTTCAAGTTACCAGACACACAATTCCCAGACAAGTTGGAAACAATTATTGCTTGAGGAAAAGCAGTTCATTGTACTTTTTCTTCATAAAAAAAGTGCACTTAAGTGCCAAGTCAGCTTGTCAAGAAACAATTTTTAAATATAAAATAGTGCTTGTCTGATTTTTTTTTTTTTGTGCCACTGTGCAGTATAAAAA